TAGCATTATCAAATGAAATTAACCTTTGTAAATATAAAAAAATAAAGTTACTACATTCAGTCTATAAAGTGCCTCACAGCTAAATCGTGCGGTATACATTTTGTTGGTATTCCTGTTAAGGAATCCCCGAAAACAAATGAATAAGTTTAAACAAAAGAATGTTACATTATTATAGCCTATCAGTAAACGTCGCATAATGTTATAATCAGAAAATATGGCGAAAACATCGATACGACTGCGGCAGATTGTTTTAAAGTGTTTTAAAAGTGACAAAACCTACTGGGAAATTACTAAAATAATTGGCAAAAATGTAGCTACCTCCCTGTACATTATAAAACGTTATAAAACAAAAATGGAGTAAGAAATAAATGAACAAACGCTCTTAATAAGAAATTAAACGAGTATGGTGAAAGGTGGATAGTAAGAAAAATTGAGAACTCAAAACTTCCTGCAAATGAGGTAGAAAGATATTTAGGAAAACATACTAATCCAAAGACAATTAGAAGAGTTTTGCGGAAGAATAATTTTCACGGTAGAATAGCACGAAACAAACATTTTATTAACAAGAAAAACAAGCAAAAGCGGCTGGAGTTTGCACGGGAATTTTTAAATAAAGATTTTAATTTCTGGAAGGAAGTTATATTTATTGACGACAGTAAATTTAACTTTTTTCTATAATTTTATGGTAAAGTTAATGTATGATGTAGATCAAATTAGAAATTTAAAATACAAAATTTAAATCCCACTGCTAAACAGGGTAGCGGATCAGTAATGGCCTGGGGTTGCGTATCAGCCGTTGGTATCGATAATTTGGAATTTATCCATGGAAATATGAATAAATATGATTATTTAAATATTTTTGAAAGGAATTTAAAAAGCAGTGCTGAAAAACTAGGCATTTAAAAATCTTTTAAAGTTTATAGTGACAACAATCCTAAGCATATATCGCATATTGTAAAAATGTGATTATTACATAATGTCCCAAAAGTAATTTATACCTCTTCGCAATCACCCGACTTTTGAACATCGCAGAAAATATTTGGAACAAGTTAGAAATAAGAATTCGAAAACACGCAATTACAAATAAAAACAATTAAAAAAGAAACATTAATAAAAGCATGGATTAAAAGCCGTAGAATGTAATCGAGGCTACTCTACAAAATATTAATTTTAAATTCAAAGTAAGATTATTTTTTAGTTTATTAATGTTTTTACATGTGTACCATTTTAGCCGTGAGACTAAATGTAATAACTTTATTTTTTTTTAATATTTACAAAGGTTAGTTTTATCTACACAATAAGTATGGATACATCGACAATATATATATTCGTTGTATTTTCTTTTTCAAGTCAACCCTAAACTTTTTTACAACATGAAACATATTCTCTTGCATGATGTACAATTTTTGTTGAGTCACTGTACATAAATTAGAATTTAGGGAAAATTATAAATGCTTTTACAAGTAATCAAAATAATTATTTTTTATTGTAAAAAATAACAAAATATTTCATTTTAGTTTTTATTTTTGTAAATTTTCAAATTCTATAACATTGTTAAAATTAATATTCAACAATTGGAATTTTCATTATTAAAACAATATTATATAGTGACATAAGTGAAGCCTTATGAAATTATAAAAATAAAAATAAAAAGAAATTATCATTTTCAAAGTTATAAATGTATTGTATATAAAACATGTACTCGTTTTTATCATGTTAGTATTCAAAGTAATGTATAATATCGAAATAACTATTATATAATAATAAATATATTTATTGTATCTCAAGAGGTTGCTATAATATTAGACTGATAAACAGTTATGTTTATATTTTCTGTAACGTGAAGTCATTACGATCCAAAATGTTATGTATCTACAGTACATGGTAAGAACAGTATGTGGGTAATGGATAATATTTGTAAAATGTAATAAATATGAAATGCATGAAATTGGTAATTTTTTATATTTTATTATAAATTGCAACAACTATTATCGTTTATGTTTAGATAAATTCAGTTTCCCTTTATATCAGCATATTTGATGAAACAGATTTCTACTTAACTTATTGCGCACATTAAAGAAAACAAATTTGAACAATCAAAAGTTATAGTATCCATACCATTATTAGACCTTTCGCGATTTCACATTTTGCTTTCTATTTTACTTAAAACTACGTATTGACTAAATTTTAGAATTATAGAATGATGAAGTATAAAGTTTGCGTGTGATAATAATGATGCGCGTAAAGAAACAACTGTATTTATTAATTTGCAATGTAATAGTAAACAATATTAATTAATAATAAAGGACAATTGTAAAGTATGCCATAGATTTTATATCTTTTTTGTCGCATTTTTGTGGAACATTCGTAGCATTACGGAAGGAATGCGATGAGGAAGTGTCTAATAAAGTTTTAAGTCCATTAAATGGAAGATTAACCATACACACGTTTGCTGTCAATAATCGACTAGGCCGCTAAAAATAGAACAAGAAAATTGGAAAATGATAACAAATATGTTGTTTTAAATTTAAATGCAATAATACAACAATTTCTTTTATTTTTACCGGCTACTCCTCGGACTTAAAGATCGAATCGGAGAATCTCTGTATCTTCTACGAGATTCACTTCTAAACTTTTCTCTGTCGTCTCGTCTATCCTTCTCTCTCTCTCTTTCTCGGTCACGATCGCTTTCGAAATCCCTTATGTCCCTCTCCTTTCGATCACGGCGGACATTTCGTGGACTACGTCCAGGACTCGGTGTACGTGACACGGAGGAATGTGAATCAGAACTGTGACCTTCGTAACGATGTCTTCGTTCTCTTTGCCTGAAAACGTTTAATGTTACAATTCTTATAATTCTTACAGTTCTTAACTATCTTAACTTAAAAGTTAATACGTATATCTCATCTAAGGAATGTATATAATAATAAGTTTGTGAAATGAGAATAATGCGGTTTACTTTCTACGCAGTTTCAAAGACATTTCTCGAATTTCATCTTCTCGATCTTGCCGTTGTTGCTCCATTTTTTCGATCCTAAGTTGTTCAGCCTTCTTGTCAGCTTTATCTAATAAACAGTCGTAATTATTATACTATATTACAAATTCATTATTTTAAAAAGTTACACTCACATTGCTTATTCAGTAAAGCTTGCATCTTTTTCTTAAGCCGCTCCTGAGGTGTAATTTTCAGTGACTGAAAAACGTAACTCTTTCACTTTTAAACGTAACTCGATTTCTTTTAAAATATGTTTAGCAGAGCATAACACACGTTTCTGAAATTTTTAAATAAATATTACAATACCTAATAAGATTGTTTGTTCAAAGTTCAATTTAACTTGTACGTTGTCCTTTTTATATTAACAAGTGAATAAACTATAATATTTCAGATAATTAAACAAGTAGTACTGAAAGTAAAAAATAGGAATACTTTCATTTAACAATATATAAACGGTCTTAAAGAGAATATTATTTTCTTTACTGAATATTGTTAAACTGTCAAACTAAATAATTGTTAAAATGCATTTTAATAAAAATCATTATACAATAAAGTTGGTATCGATATTTCAGGAACGTGTTATGCTGCCGCGTATATTTTATGCATTTATTTCATATATTCTATTCATTATAATGAAATATCCCTTTATATTATTATTTTTATAAAAAAAGAAAGTTATACCACAAATAACTTGATGATTCCATCTTAATAACAACAACGTTATTAATTGAAGTAAAAAACTGTTTTAAGAGAACTCTGAGAAAAATGCATTTCGTGGATTTATAACAACAAAAGTTTACTCGTGTCATAACTGTGAGAATGAAATTTGATACGTCGACAGATTTATTAGTATGTGCGA